GACCACTCTCATAGCAGCTTAAGGCCGCTGTGTTTCATGTGGTGGGACTAGAGATCCTGTTTTTGAAAAAATAGTAAGATAAAAAGTAATATACATTATAACTTCTAAAGTCGGTGCTAATATTGAGTGTAACGAAAAATTGAAGCACTGATAGCATAAACAATAATGTGGATTTCTTTTTAATTAATTTTGCGTTTTTAAATGTTAAATTATTTTACTTTATTGTGGATTAAAGAATATCAGGTATGTTCAAAGTAACTATTTATATTAAAAATTTCATCTTATATTTTCCTACCTTAGAGTTGAAGGTTTTCCTTAAAACTTATATTAGACTATCTCTAAAATATAATTTTATGAATTAAAGAAGAAATATCAAAATCGGTTCAGCCGTTTCCAAGTAATTAGTAAACATACATAAAAAAATATACACGTCGTCGTTATAGAACCGTCTCGTTTATGAAACTCTTGTTTAAATGTTGTGTTAAAATTCACTACTGCTTTTTAGGCGTATTTTATACATTTAGATAAATACTGCCAGTAAAATTTTATCTAAAAACTTAATCTAAAAAATATCTTTTTGCAAGTATCAAATTGAGTAACAATAAAAGAAACTCGAAGAAGAAAAATATTAATTCATGTTTTGATCTTTTCTACGTGATACAAAATTTAAAAAAAAATGGACGTTATATAAACATGTTTTTGACACTGAAACTGACTACTAAAACCATGGAGCAACACGGGCCACCGGAGGATCGGAGGGGGGTAAACTAAATGCTACTAAACGCTGGTATAGAAAAATATCGTGAGGAAACCTGCATGTCTGAGAAATAAGAAAGAACAATTCTAAGACATGTGAAGTTCGCTAACACGCATCGTGGTAGTGCGGCGGACTCTTCATTGCCCTAAAACTCTTTCAGAAATGAGTGAGCCCAGCTGTGGGACGTATCTATATACGTCACAGCGTCACAGCCCTATGGCTGCAACTTTAATTTTAACTTTTAAATATTATTAGTGTATAAATTCCTTGGGTGCAAATATTTAAATGACAAATTTCGCTTTCAATCGTAATGTTTTATTCAAAATGAAATATAACGGTAACGATTTGCGTTTTTATGCAACTACGGGCTTACTTATGTACTAGCTGGACTGCTAACTGCTATTTTATGCTGAAAATTAAAACTCTTTCCTAGAATTGAGTCCTCTGTCCTAAAACTTTTACACTAACACATATCAGATTACATTTTCTTTTCATATTTACTTTATAGTCATAATTCTAAAAGTTTCATTTTCATCTGTTTTCGTATTAAAATTAATGTTAGTTAGTGTTCGACTGTTATACATAAACACGGGCAATATTTGCATCCAAATGAAATATAATTAAATCGTAGGAATAGAACCTAAGTAAGCGAATGATAATGTTGTTACATAGTGAATGGTCTTTAATAATTCACTTTACATCTTACTTACTTACTTACTTATCTTTACGCACAATCCCTGACGGGGTAGCCAGAGAGAACAGATCGCCAAGTGTCACGATCCTTTTTTTTTTTTTTTTTTGCGGATGGAAAATCATCTAATGACGCCTTTCGCTGTGGGTGGAGCGGAAGGGAGTGTCAGACTTTTACTGACTAAAAACCATCCGTGTTCCTTCAGTGCCCTTACGTTCCGGAGCCGCGGTATCTCTTTCGAACAGCCCGCAGCCCCGGCAGGCGTCGGCCCTTGCGGGCCCCTTCACGCTGCTGACAGCTCTTTGAGGCGCGCGTGGAACAAAACGCGCCGTCGACACGGCCTGTCGTCGTTAGACGGACGGACGGCGAGCTACCCATTGCTCGCCGTCCACAGGCCCGCGCCTACGGTGGTCGGGGGCCACGACGTAGCCCCCGACGCCCGGGGCGTCTCCCGCGGCGGCCGGGAAGGAAAGCTGTTGCTCTTTCCCTCTCCCGCTCCGCCACCTCCTTCGCTAGCATCACTGCTTCGCAGAAGGTGGTGACGGCATCCCATTCCGTCTCGCTCCGGACCATGGCTTCGACCAGAGCCGGACGCGAGAGGTCGCCGCCGCCTATCGCCGCTACGAGGACACGGCGGTGCTCCGCCCAAGCAGAGCACACTTCCACGGTGTGCTCCACCGTGTCCTCCGGTCGATCCTCGCAGTGGGAGCACCCGGGCGTTTCCTCCCGCCCGATTCGGTGCAGGAACCTCCCGAACACACCGTGTCCGGTGAGGACCTGCGTCAGGCGGAAGGTGAGGACGCCGTGGCGTCTCTCAAGCCACTCCTCAAAGAGGGGTCTTATCGCCGCTATAGTGGCGTGCCCAGCACGGGGTTGCGACAGTCGCTCTCTCCATGTCGCCATGAGATCATGCCGGAAGTCTGTCCGCTGCGCAACAACTTGCCGCGGCAGCGGGGTTTCCCCCCGGCATAGTGCTGCCGCGCGCCATTCGTGCAGGCGCGCGAGGACTATCGCCTCCAGATCCCATGGCGGCAATCCGGCAAGGAGGCTCGCCGCCTCGCGGGAGATCGTGCGGTAGCCGCGAACCATCTTTACGGCAACCACCCTTTGGGGCGCGTTTAGGTGGTGGACGGCAAGCCGCGCCAAACCACGCGCCCACACCGGGGCCCCGTAAAGGGCCATGGACCTCACGATCCCCGCGTAGAGCCTCCGGCAGGAGGCGTTTGGCCCCCCCAGGTTCGGCAGGAGCCGCCTGAAGGCAGCCCCGGTCCGTTCCAGTTTGGGAGCCAAACGTCGGAAGTGCTCAACGAAGTTCCATCGGCCGTCGAGGACGAGTCCTAGGTACTTCAACGTCGACTCGACGCCGATGGATACCCCTCCTACCATTACTGAGGATCCCGGTGGTGGCCTGTTCCGAGGACCATGGAAGTGCATGGCCTCGGACTTGTGCAGAGCCACCTCGAGACCCAGTTGCCGGATCCTCTCAACGACTATCGCAACCCCGCGTGTCATAGTTTCCGCCGCCGCCTCGTACGACCCCCCTTGTGCCAGTACCAGCGTGTCGTCAGCGTAGCAAACTACGCTGACGCCGGTAGGGAGGTCGGCGCGCAGCACCCAGTCGTAACCGATGTTCCACAGGGGCGGCCCCAGAACCGAACCCTGTGGGACACCGCACGACATCTCTCGCCGGTTCCACTCTCCGTTTCGACCGGGGTAGATGACGGCCCTGTTCGTCAGATAGTCCCCGACTATACGACGGAGATAGGTCGGCACCCGGTGATACCGGAGTGCCTCCCTAATGCAGCTCCAGGGCATGGAGTTGAAGGCGTTGGCGATGTCGAGAGACACCGCCAAGACAACCCCCCCCCTGGCCACTGCATCCCCCGTCGTGAGGGCTCTCACGCGCATGATGGCGTCCACCGTAGAGCGCCTCTTGCGGAAACCAAACTGGTGTTCCGCAAGATCCGGCCCCGTTTGCAATTACTCTTTCAAAGAGCTTGCCCACCTCGTCGAGCAGCACCACGGGCCGGTATGCGGACGGAGAGTCCGCAGGGCGCCCCGGCTTCCGAATGAGGACCAGCTTCCCCGTCTTCCAACGAAGCGGGAATTGGCCTCTCTCCAAGCATGCGCTTAGGAGCCCCTCCAGTCGGGGCCCGAGAGCCTCCGAGGCCAGGACCCAGGCTTTGCCAGGCAAGCCATCGGGTCCTGGGGCGGTATTCCTGGCCTTGAGCCTACGTACCGCCACTCTCAGGTCTACCCTGGTCCCTTCCGGGATGTCGTCGTCGTCGTCCTGGTGGTCCGCTTCCGGCACCGCAGGTGGCGGAGCCATAGGCGGGGGCGGATGTTCCCCGCGCGCAGGGAACAGAGCGCTCACCACATCCTCCACGAGCTGAGGCCGGAGACTCTGCGTCAGCGGGGGGGCCCAGGTGCGGAGTTTATCCCGCACGATCTTGTAAGGGCGCCCCCACGGATCTCTATCGAGAGTCTCCAGCATCTCCTCACGGGCCCGATCCCGGGCCCGCAGGACAGCCTCCCGGAGGGCGGTCTTTGCCGCTCTGTATCCCTCGTACAGCTCCGCCTCAATGGCTGCCGCATTCGGTGGACGAATGCGGAGCCTGCGATGCCTGGCGTACAGGTGCCGCGCGGCGACACACGCCTCGCGCAGAGACGTCAGCTCACGCGACCACCAATACACCTGACGCCGGGCGCTTCCTGGCCGGACGCGGGGCATTGCCACGTCACATATCTTGGACATGGCCTCCTGGAACCACCCTGCCTCATCATTGACGTCGGCAGGCCTGTCCGGTGATGACACCCAGGCCTGCACGATCGAGGCTTCCAGGAGGAGCTCCCGGTCCAGCTGCTTCAGCGCCCAACGCGGACCACTCGGGGCCTGTTGGACTGGCGCGCTCGAGGGCTGGGTGGAGACGTCAAACCGGATGTACCGGTGGTCGGAGTAGGTCTCCACCCCCTCCATGACACGCCAGTCAATGGCACGCGGCGACAGAGCGGGGCTAGCGAACGAAATGTCCACCACCGACTCGCCCCGCATCCGCACACACGTGGGGACAGAACCCCGATTTAGGACGACCAGGCCTGTCTCCAGAGCCCAGTCTTCCACCATCCTACCCCGCACATCTGTACGACGAGAACCCCAAGCCAAGTTCTTGGCATTGAAGTCCCCGAGGACAAGTACGGGGAGGGGATTACTTCCGACGACGACTGCTCTCAGCTCTGCAAGAGAGTTGTGAAACTCGGCGAGAGATTGGTTCGGGGAGAAGTACACCCCCACAACGACGAACTCCCCGAACCGTGCTGCTACGCACCCCTGACCCCTCCTGACACCTTCAAGGGTCGGGGTACCGGCGGCGGCTGAAGAAATGATGGCCACTGAGCCGTTAAGGTCCGCCACCCAGTCCTCCCTAGGCCAGACAAAATACGGCTCAGCGACCACAGCGATGTTGATCGACCACTGCGCCATGCTCTGGAGCAACAGATCCTCAGCGCAGGCGCAGTGGTTGATATTCGCCTGGAGGAAGCTTAATGGGGCCGTTATAGGCATTCCATTTCAGCTTCCTCCACGGGGCGCCTCTCTGCGGGCGTCGGTGTCGCGGCGGCGGCGGCAGCGACAGTGACAGCGGCGGCGGCGGCGGCGGCGGCGGCAGTCGCGACTGCGGCGGTGGCCACAGAGGCGGTGGCGGCGGAGGGCCCTCCCCTACCCGCGGCCTTGGCCTTGGCGGGTGGCACGCAGGCCTTGCTTCCGGCCCGGTGATCGGCTGGCTTGCCGGTCGCCGCACATGCATCACAGTGCGGCGTGGCGCAGCAGGTCGCCGATATGTGTCCGGGCTGACAGCAGCGGAAGCAAAGGCCACTGCGGTCAACCTCCGAGGCGCATTTCACAGATACGTGGTGCCCCACGAGACAGCGGTAGCACCTCAGAGGTCTGGGCTCCAGCAGCTTAACCTGCGCTGAGACCCAGCCCACCAGAAGCCTTCGGCCCTCCACTATGGTTTTGGCCGCCGTAACAGGGCAGCACACCGTGGCGGCATGCATACCCTGTTGGTCCGGGCGTATGGCGCCTGACCTGACCTGGTCAGTAGTGCACCCCCCGGACCTGGCGACGGCGGCCACTAACTCCTTCTCCGATACCGAGTCGTCCAGACCCATGATGCGCAGGTCTGCGCATCTGACGGGCCTGGACACTCGGGCCTCGTCCGCGTCCAGGGACGCTCTGAGCTTCGCAGCCAGAGCGTCCGCGGTCGCGCCACTGGATTCCCCGGGGATCTCCAGCATACGGGCCCCTGTCTGGGTGACTTTGAGCCGGAGGCCCCCGGTGATCCCGAGCTCCCCGAGATCCACCGCCTCTTTCGCCTTCGCGAGCAGATCGCGGTAGGTAACGCCCTTCTTTTCCGCGTCCGGCTCTAGTGTAATCACTACAGCTGCGGTCTTCGGGGCGCGGAGCCTAGCCGCCATCTTGCGCGCCCTGAACTGGCGCTGCCGCTCCTGCTCTTTGGCCTTTTTGGCTGCCTTCTTCCCCTTATTTTTGTCCCCGACCACCTGCCAACCGGCTTCAGCCGTGGGAGGTGTAGGGAGCTGCGGGGGCGGTGGCGGCGGCGGCAGCTGGCTTGCCGCTGGCGCTGGCACATTCGCCGCAGGCACTGGGGCTGGCACAGCCACCACCTGTGCTGCCGCTTTGCCCTTTTTTGTCTTCGCCTTGCCTCTCTTTCCCGTTGCCGGCTTAGCCGGAGCCGGTTCAGCCGGTACCGGTTTTGCCGGAGCCGGCTTTTCAGGGGGAGGAGGGGCAACTGCAGCCCCGCCCGAAGGCTGGCTGGACGGCCCCGGCCTGGATGCGGCAGCTGTAGCCGCCGCGTACGAGACCGTTGCCGGCCTCGCCGCCGTCTTGTTTGCCCCTAGGGGGGGGCGCAGGACGATGCCCTCCAGCACGGAGAACCGGTGCTGGAAGGCAGCCAGCTCCTGCCGGACCAGGTTCAGAACCTGGTTCTCCACCGGCACGGGCTGGCTTGGGCGCTGCGTCTGGGGCGCCGCGCGAGAGGCAGGCTCACGTAGACTGGCCAGGTCTGCGCGGAGCTTCTCGTTCTCCTTCTGGAGAGTCTCCATGGCGGACGTCAGGCGGGCCACTTCCGCCCGCAGCTCCGCTACCTCGTTTACATTAAGCTCGGCCCCAACAAAGTTGGCCTCCGCAGCCGCCATGATGGAGGCGGAGGCCGCGGGAATGGCCTTTAACTTTGAGGAGGCCTTTTGCTTGTGGGCCACGACCTTGATCGCGGCCTCCACCTCCTTTACGAATCTGGCCTTACGCTCCACCTCGGAGCCGCCAGTCGCATCCGTCTCTTCGCCTGATACCCGAGCCGTATCGCCCGGGTGGCGCCCCTCCTCGGCATGCTTTGCCGCTTGTTCGGCCCTCTGATTGACAGAGGGCCCCCTCCCCTTGCCTCTCAGCCCGCCCCGCCTGTTGGTGGGGATTTTCCGGGCCGAAGTCTCCTCTTCTCCGGCTGACGACCCCTGGTCGCCATCCCGCCTGGACCGCTTGCGGAAAAACTTACTGGTCTCCGCGGTCCCAGGCTCCACGCGTCGGGAGCTCTCTGAGCCTCCCACGCTGCTCGATGCGGCGTCGGACTCTGTCCCCGCATCGTTCCTCCTCTCCTCTACGTTGCCGTTGCCGGCGGTTTTGGTTTTTTGTTCTTTATTTTCCATATTTGTACCCACGAGTATGGGAGTAATTAAATGTCCACCTTGGCAGTGACCCCTTACCAAGGTAAGCAGATTTAGAGGATTTATTACTCGCCAGGGGGTCTGCAGGTACCCTGGCGAGGAGCGCACTATCGACTGATTTGTTCATAGAACCCCGTCAGCCATCCATCCCCTCGCGGTGCGTCGCCACTTGAGATTCGGGGTAACTTTTTATAGAGGTTTTCTCCCTCGCGGTCCGGGCGGTTAAGCCAAGACCCTCGGTCCCAATCAAAGCCGCGAGACATGATCCACGACACTTCGATACTGGGATTACGAGACCGGCGGTGACAGCAAAGGATGAATCCTTCACTGTCTGCCCGGAGGCAGGGTAAGTGCACACCGAGGCCGCCCTCACTCCTCTGCTATGCCCTCTGCTGATCAGAGGGTCACGCAGTGGAACGCGCCGTTGGTCCGGGACGGACCCCACCCATGTCAGAATAATTAGCCGCGGCAGTAACCTTCCCCAAGGAGTAAGAATTTCTTCTCATTTCTCGAGGAAGATTACTGCCGCGCCCAGGGTGCACCGGCCCAGTAGCTGCTCTTCCCTCCAGACGTATCGAGAGGGACCCGCAACTACCAGGCACACGTGGAGGACTTCTGACTTCGCACCCCAAGTGTCACGATCCTTACATAACTCTTTCGCTTCTTTCAAATTCATTATCTTCTTCATACATGCACGTCTAGGTATCCGAGTACTCTTGACCCTCCCCTCTTCGAGCAATTTGCTCACATGGTTTTCGAAAGTTAGTCTCGATCTACCTCGACACCTTTTAATATTAACTTTCGCGCTATATATTTTCTTCAGCATTCGGTCTTCACTCATTCGCTCAACGTGCCCAAACCATCGAAGCACGCCCTTATCAATTTTTGTAATAAGGTCATCTTTCAAACCTGCCATATTGCGAATCTCTTCGTTTCGCTTTCGGTCGGCCATGGTAACGCCGCACATTTTACGAAGAGATCCCATCTCCACTGCATTCAACTTGCTTTTATGCTTCTTCTGGCATACCCAGGTTTCGCTGCCATATAACAAATTCGGTAACAACACTGCGTTATGTATTGCAAGGCGTGCACTCTTCACTACGCCTTGCCTTTTGACTAACGCAGTCAGGGCACCATTGACTTTGTTCCCGGCAGCGACACGCCTGTCCACATCTAAATCACATCTTCCATCCCGGCTGAAAGCACTCCTCAAGTATACAATTTCATTTACCTGTTCTAGACATTCCTGATTTACCCATATTTCACACTTCGTTCTCTCTTCGTCCCTTTCAAATACCAAAACCTTAGTTTTATTAGCATTCAAACGGAGACCTTTAATTTCACATTCCTCTTTCATACACGTGACTATTCTACAATAACTTAGCTCTTAGATTGACAAATCATACCAGATTTTCAGCTAAGAATTCTTTATTTATAAATTTTCAAATGGTCCTACGTTCTTCTTGTGTACATCTGGGTCCAAGAATGTATGCAAACGTCTTCTTCTCCTTTAGTTGCTTTAAACTACTCTATATCGCAGTCGCTTTTGTATTGCGTGTAATTTCTGGGAAATCTAATTACCCACATCATTTTATGGTTAAATAAAGTAATAACGCTACCTTTTGAATTTTGTATATTCAGCATTTTAGGATATCCTCAGTAAAACTAAAGTAAGTTGAAGTGTAGTAAGCTGAAGTGGCAATGGGCCGACCATAAAGCTGGAAGAATTGACAACTGAAGGGGAAGATTGTTCTCGAGTGGCAATCTCGTACTGTTAACCGAAGAAGGGCGGTCACCACTAGATGGTGTGATGACCTGGTCAATTAAGCAGGAAGTCGTTGGATGGCTCAGAACCGCGCTTTGTGGTGTTCATTGCTGGAGGCCTATGTTCAGCAATGGACTTGTGAAGGGATGCAATGATGACGATGACAAGATTTACTGGTTAAACTTTAAGTTTATTTTAGGATTAAAAAAATAAACTTTATACAAAAATAGCCAAATCTTCAAAAAGGTAAAAGCAACTGCTTAATTTATAATGTCATTTCGATATTTGGTGGTTCCACGAAAATACGTGCCTTTACCTTAATTAAAAGCTTTCATACCTTTCAAATTGAAACATTAATGAGTTCATGGTTGCTTGTTATTTGAATATAAGCCTTAAACTTTCTAGTCACAAAGCTACCTTAAGCTTTACCTCCATTTCAATGTTCGTTCGCATTTCATTAATACATTTAATGTAAAATTCTCGTTGCCACCATTATTTAAGTCTACTTCATTAGTTAAAGGTATAATACATGTTGGTAAAGTACACATTTTTTTAACTAATCGGTTATTCAAGATTTATTCGAGGTGTTTTCTTCACCACCGAGCACGCTGTAAATCAGGACTTTAAATTGCAATCAACAATTTCATTGGTGCTATCGGGGATAGAACCCGGGTTGCTCACTTGCAGTCAATTTACAGGGAAGTTCTTTTAGGCCACTGAACATACGTGATTGTTGTAATATTTTTCTCAGGGCTCCATTCTCGGCCCATTCTTATTTCTAGTGCATATTAATGACTTTCCTTCTCTTGTGGGGGATAATTGTGATATAGTATTTTTGCTGATGATACTTTCTTGATTTTTAAAATTCAATCATTTAAATGTGACGAAGTGAATAATGCTACATCAACATTAGTGCATTGGTTTAACGTTAATAATCTAAATTTAAATGTAAATAAAACTAAATGTATTAAATTTACAATAATGAATGTTAAAAATCTGAGTACCAATGTGTTTTTAAATGGGAAAGAACTGAGCCCTGTTAAATCCACTGTTTTTCTTGGCATCACTCTCGACGCAAAGCCTCAGTGGGGCCCCCATATGTCCAAATTAGCAAGCAGACTAAGTTCTGCAGCCTATGCTGTAAAAAAGATTAGAGGTCTCACTAGTGTCGAGGCAGCTAGATTAGTTAATTTCAGTTATTTCCATAGCATAATTCCTGAATGACAGGGTGAGAAATATTGTGATAAGAGAAAAGTGTCGTTTGCAAGATGACGTTGTGACTAGGATTAAAAAAGGAATGCTTCGGTGGTTTGGTCACGTAAAAAGAATGAACGAGGAAAGAGTGACAAAGCAAATTTATGTTTCAGAAGTGAATAGCAAAGTCGGGAAGGGACGCCCTAGACGAAGATTTATCGACCAAATCGGCGATACATTGAAAATGGGCCAGATTAGGAGTACCCTTAACAGACGAGCGTGTATGCGTAAATATATGGATGTAAAGGAGGCGAGAGAGGTGTGTCAGGATCGCGCCAAATGTAAGTCTGTAGTTTCGGCCTACCCCGCTGGGTGACAAGCGTGAGTGTTTGTTGTTGCATAATATCTTATGGGATTTTGCCGTGGGGAAATGCGGCTGATTCTGAAACTATTTTTGTTTTACAGAAGAGGGCCATTAGAGCTATTTACAACCTAAAACCGAGAGTCTCTTAGAGATAAACTTAAAGAAATAAATATATTAACTTTGGCCTCTCAGTATATTTACGAAAATTTAATGTATGTTCACAAAAACAAAGGTAGT